CTATCCCTTGATTCCCTTATATTCACCTTGTCTGTGCTCCCTCCCCAACCCACCCCTGTTGCTGTTATTATCATTTCCCAATGCTTTCAGGAATAGGGGTGCATACAACCTGCTCCCCTGTGACAGTACTTAGCGGCCAGTTGCTAGATTCATGCACCGTCACATGACTTAGGGAGTGATGTCACCATTCCTCTGGGTCACAGACTCTGCTTATTTCAATACTGGCTTCAACAGAAAAAGAGCAGTGAAAGAGCATAGTCGAGGTCAGTATATAAAGGTTGGGGGCCCCTTTGCAGAGTCTCTTAATGTGCAAAGTGACAGTATCCCTTTATGCTTGTTTATTTCTAGAAAGTAATTTAACAAAATAAATTCCCCCTAAATTCACCCTAATTTGGAAATAGCATTAACTTTGAGCAGCTGTTAGAAAAGATTGTATCTACATGATAAACCATTTATATTTTTTTGTTTCCTCTTGCTGTAACATCCACTCCTTTTTGCTGAGGTTTGGAGTGTGCTGGTCTATTGAGGTCTAGGAAGTTGAGCCTCAAGGGGCTGGTTAAAGACCCATGGGGTGATTCGGAATGTCCATGGGAAAAAAAAGAGGGAGGAGGGAGAACCCTTATAGTGTAGTGAGTGCCTCAAATAAAGCGCTTACCTCAAAGAGGTTTCACAATAGAAAAAAAATGACTTACATCTGCTGACGTATTGAATTACCAGGTAGAAGCACGTAACCTTCCATGAGCTTAGGTGGACAATAACGTGTCTCCATGTAGGATTATAAAGGTTGATCTTAATGTGTCAGGGGTCCCAATCCTGTGGAGTTCTCAGAGAGGTGCGGAACTAGGTGAGTTAGGAGCCTGGCCTGGGAGGTCCAAGCGGCAGAGGAGCTCATTGTCATGTGGTTAAAGATGGATAGGAGTTATCTGGTATTATGAACATTAAATTTACATTAAACCACAGGGCACCATCCCTCTTCTCATTAGGAGCATGCCCTGACATTGTCAGGCATGCATACAAGTACATGGGGGCCATACAAAGTACTGAGTACCATTTTGAGTTGCTGCAATGGAATTTCAGCAAAATGGACTAGCCAGCTTCATCAGTTTTTTCACTTTGATTTTTGGGGTGTCTTTGAATTCAGTCCTCTGTAGGTTGATTGTTTTAATTTTCATCAAATAATGGGGCATCCTTACGTTCCTAACACAATACCCAGTACATATCAGTATAGATATCCAGCATATTTTTCCCTATTGAGATCTGATGTGTTTTCAAAGTGTTCCGCCCCTTGATGACGTCGGTGTTGTGTGACGAAACCGGTTGGGCGTAGCCTATTTGATGTGGACGTTAGAGAGCCTTGCTGGTCTGTGCTGTATGGGAGAGATCTGCGCTGAGCGTTAACTGTATCTCAACCCTTTTTTGTGATTGAAGCTGGTGTCTGTTGGACACCTTGTTTTGTACTGCATGCTCTCATGGAGGTTTGAGAAAGAGTGGAGAAGTTCATCATAAGAGCTTGGGCTGCAAAGTTGTTTGGCTGTGATTATTATCTGGAAGTATCTGAAACATCACCATATCTATTTGGTCATCGGGTTCATTGCTCCCAGAGCACAAGCGCTGTTGCTGGTTTATAATCTGACCAGCCATTAGCTCTGGTGAGTTCATTTAATCTCCTTTGGTGGTGGATTTCTCACAATTGGTTCAAGTCACTGAAGATATATATATTTTTTTGGACACTAATTTATGTTTGGACACTATAATTTATTTAAAACACTAATGTTTTTTGGATGATGACATACACTTTTGTATAAGTTTGTTATTAGCGCATACCTTTTAATTTGGAGATGTCTCATCAGACCTGCTACATAAACCTCTTTTTTGGCCCAATGATCCGGATTTCTTTATGCACATCCGTTTGAGCCCTGGTCAGGATCCCTACTGTTCTCTGGTCCATGCTCGGCCCTTCCATCTCATGTGGTTTGTCCACTGTTGCAGTAAACACACCCTTCACTGACAACTGACCAGCACCATCCTGGACCATAGCAGCAGAAATGCTTCCCACCTGGCTGTTAGGAGGTGAAACCTTTGACTCATTTTCCATTTCTCCAAAACTTCTCTCAAATACATTGACAGGTAGTCCAGCAGCATACCCTGATACAACTTTTAACACCATCAACAAATTCAGAAACAAACAACTTTCTTGTTTCTGTTTGATCTGTACAGCCAGCCATTCGGTGCTCCACCTAGTGGTACTCTGCAGTATCAGACCATCCGACTGTGGAGGAGACACCCCAGTATACATTGGTTGTACATTCCAAAGTTCAAGCATCTCCTTTAATACTTTGGTTACAACCCAACCACTTGACTCTAAACCTAAGACCTTCCTGACCATATTTAGGGCACTGGGAACGCTGAGAGACTCACCTGCTGAGACTTGAGAAGTTGAAATTTTTAAAGGGACCTCCTCCAAGCTGGAGATAACCACAGCCTGGTGCTCCACCAGAGCGCTGCCATGTGCTGGGCTCACTCTCAAAGTCTCAGACTCAGCATCCACAAGCTGCCTCCGATCATTCCCAGTGACAACATCATTTTGACACTCCATGCCAACATCACTTTTGTGGGTCACAGACAAAGTCTCTGCTGTATACACGCCCTTATCTATAGGCTGTTCTATAGATCCTCCTGCTGGCACAGTAGAAACAGTGTCCACCTTATTTTTTTTTTCATAAAAACCTCATCTATCAATGAGATTAGCCTTTTACCCCAACTATCCCAATCCATTGTATATGTGCTCAATTCGCCAGTGCTCCTCAGCACCGATCCATCCGCCCAAGGAGACACATAAGAATAGACGGGCTTAGTTGCAGATCCATTGCACAAATCACTCTGGATCACATCAGACTTGGGTAACACCTGTTTTCCTACTGCAGGTTGCAATACCTCACATCCACCACTTTGCTCTGGTGGTGCTTCCTGAATTACCCACACACTTGCATTTTTGCCAGGCTGCATTAACCCGCTGTTCACCTGAACACTTTCAGTATTAATAGATTGCACCAACACACTCCTATGACAAGGTGCAGTTCCACTCTGCTCCACCAGAGTGACATCGCAGTTGTCCAGGGCAACCTCCGGCTCCAATACACGGAGAACCCTGGAGATGTCTAAGGACACCTGTGCTGTCTTACCCCCAGTTGCTACGGGAAATGACCCATCTTTAATTACAGCTTTTGTACTGCAAGAGCTCGGGGTTTTCCCAACAGCAGTACATTTCTCATCAACAACATTTTTAGCTCTTGTAGGCTGTACTATCCCACTACCAACCTGTGACTGGCACACATTAGTGACATCACTTTCTTTTTGAGAACCAGGCACAGGTTTTACTTTAACCTCTAATTCCCCACTGTACAAGGCACTGCACAGGGAAAAGTCACTTTCAAAAGCACATTCAGTGGCCCAACTAACTGGGGTCACTCCTACATCAGAATGGACAGTCTCATAACCAGTCCTTCTCAACATGACAGTCCCAGCCATGGTTTTATCACACACAGTCTTACCCACCACAGTAGTAGGTGTCACTACTTCATTTGAGTGAGTCGTCTCATAAACGCATCCTCAACTGCACTTTCCTTGGCAACTTTTCCCTTGTCCCAAGGTGAAGCAATAGATGCCCTCATAGGCTCCATGGACTCTCTGGCACCCCCTGCAGGCCCAACAGGAACTTCCTCCCTGTTGCCAGAGGCGGCTGCCAACATTTTCAAACAAGAATCTGGGCTTGATGTTGTAGACATTTGCTCAGTATCAGCGGTATTCCAGAGTCTGGGACAGGAAAAGATCCCATGCCCCCACTGACCACATTCCATGCAGGGTATATTTCTACACTTCTCTTTATTGGGATACTGAGCCACATCTCCAATGCAGCTCCTCCTTCCAGGCAATATTTTTTTTCTCCGGTCGCCATGGGAGATTGCACTCTCCAAGCAGAACTTCGCTGGCTAACACGATGTATTGGCTCCTCTTGATGCCACTTGTCATGATCCTTGTACGACATAGCCCCCTGTACACAGACAGCCCGACTGGCCTCCTCTGTGTTGCTATGGGCCTTCACTCTTGGTCCTGGCCTCTGGTCAGCCCCTCTCTTTGCACATAGCATAGGCTTCTCTCTGCTGGACCAACTCTCAAGCCGTGACACATTCACATTTTTCACAACAGCTACTGGTTTAACTGCAGCAACGTTGCCAGGGGCAACAACACCCCTCTCCCAGGTACAGACATCCTGCAGCTCTCTCCTTGCACTGAAGGTTGACTTGCTTTCCTCTGTAGGTTGGTTCAATGCTGCCAGGTGCCGCTTGCACCAGTCCACAGCAGACTCACCCACATCTAAATTTCCCGGCTTGGCTGGGGCATGCGGTATATAACCCCCTAGCCACAGGGCTCTCTCTCTCTCATTTCAGCAAACATTGCCTCCTTTTTCTGTTTTGACCACTCCATCTTCGCAGTCATGCACACAGCAGTGTGTTACACAGTTCAGCAACACCATGGAACACTGTCTCTTTAAGGCAAAGTCCTTATCTTTAGCAGATTCTGCTCACCTGCACATACATATAGTGCAGACTTATGCACCAAACACAGTTCATATAACTGATGAACTTACTTCAATCACCGGGATCTCCAATTCTGCCTGCATCCTCCACCATATGTGGGAACTCGCTTCAAAGTGGTAGAGCTTTTCATTTAAAGCACACAGCGACTCGCTTCTTTAAGGGCCTTTTTAGCCCACTTTTATTTAAATGAAAGTTCAAATGTCCCATAAGATAAAGCTTCCCACGCAGGGGTATCCACCATCATCAAACAAAACAACGATTCAGCCTCCTCCCATGGCTTATACTTAGCTTGATGTCTGTCTCCTGCAGACTTCTTCAAGAAATATGGCTCTTGCACAAAGCTGGCCTCTAGCACACAGCTAGTCTCTTGCAGCCCCTTGCTGCTTTTGGCTTCCACCTCTCCTTGGTGGAGCCCTCCTGACTCCTGTCTGCTGGGGTGGAGCCCTCCTGACTCCTATCTGCCGGGGTGGAGCCCAGAACTCTGGTCCTGACTCTATCTAAAGGCCTGCACACACCTGTGCAATCAGTCTCCTGTCCATTCCCAAAACCTGGTCCCAGGATTGGAGATTTCATCCCTCCCAGATCTCTTTGAAATCTCCAGGCTCCAGATCCCAAAATGGACCTTACAAACAAAGGAGGAAAGTGAAAAGCCACTTTCCTCCGTATCAAACACTTACCCTGGAGCCCCTCAACCTGCCTTGTTGAGAATCCTGGGTGGCAGATCGCCACACTGTCACAATATGTATGTGTATTATGTTCATCCTGAACTGAAGAAGTGGCAGTTTAAAGCCATGAAATGTATATTTTTGGTTAAACAAAGCAAATTTGATGTTCATTATTCCAGATGACTGTGGTCAATCTTTAACACACTATAATGGACATCTCTGCTACTCAGACCAGTGACGGGTCCTTTTGCCTGTCTCTCCTACCGCATCTACTTATTTTTCTGTTTTGAATTTTAGGTTGATAGTGAATACATTACCTGTACCAAATATATTTAATTAGTTTACAAATCATAACACAAATTCTGATATAATTTAGGGTTTAAAAACACAGTATTATCTAACCTTGTAACCTTGTAATTTCAAGTGTGAAATGAACGGATAGAAATATAGGTGTTACACATTTTAAAATAAACCAAATTATAAGTTAAGTTGCAGAGAGCTAATCTCTTTTTTGTGGATTTAGTGAATGTTACATTTAAAGAAATAAAAGTATCTCATTCTTCATCTCTCAGCCCTTTTTATTGGAATAATCATGAATGATATTTGACATGTTTATCAGCTGGCTCAGGCACTAAAATTGCTGATGCTCTAGATAGAGATTTTAAAATTGTTTCAGCTAGAATACAACTTTTCAAGCGTATATTTGCATCTAAAGGATATAAGGAATTTCCCTTGCATGCAGGCAGAGGCTGCATTACAGAAATAAGATAAAGGAATTTGATACATAAGCCTCACATAACGTTATATTGCCCTTTAAGCCTTACTAAAAGAGATTCTCCCCGTAAAATTTTTAAACATTTATTGCAGTGGTATATGTCTCCCAAGGCAAAGCTCAGCTCCCCGTGCCATTTGTTTGATTTGGAAAGTCCTCATGCCAATTTTTACAACAAAAACCAAGATGTCACAAAAACATCATTTAGTGGCATCTTAAATGGTAATTTGAATTTTGTGTTTGTACCTCCTACAGATGTGGCGTCTAACAGGCAGGGTTATGACATAAACATGTTATTTAAAGGAACTTTGTATTTATAATGCTGCCCTTTAAGCTTCAGTAAATGAGCTGTTACCCACCAAATGGTATTTTTTAAACCTTTTTTTGCATTTGTACATGCCCTTCATGTCAATGCCTAGCTCCCCATGCCCTTTGTTTTACTATCCCTTGCCTATTAGCCTTGAAAGTAGAAATTGACTTAAATGGGGTTTTCTTTAAAGTTCTCAGTTTGCTGATTTTTGAACACATTCTCTGAACCTGCCGTCAAATTAAACCCAAGCAAATTCTCTCATCATTTTTTTTTATTTATATAATAAATATTCCTGTGACACAGGATTCACAGAGCGTTATAATTTATATTATTATTTTAAAGGAGTTTATTAAGATCCATAATTTGTGCAGTACAATCACATTTCAGGACAAAAGGGTTAGGAGGGCCTTGTTTGTGAAAGCTTACAATATAGTGAAGGACAAGTGATACAAAAAATAATAATTGTGTGGGGATGAGTTGTTTGGGAAAAATAAATTCAGTTCTTAGCTAGAGGTGGGATAGATTGTAGTATACAAGTACCACAACCAGGGGTGGACTGACAACTCATAAGGCCCCCGGGCAATAGGGGATCATGGGGCCCCTGTGTCCTTGCCCACACTCAAAAAATCCTATAAAAGGTACCAGGGGCATTTCATGGGGCTCCCTACTGACCCCGGGCCATCGGGCAGTGCCCGAGTGCTCGAATGGTCAGTCCGCCCCTGACCACAACACAATATATTCAACACTGGGGTTGAATACAGTGTATGTCTCTACTTGCATGCTATATTGTATCCTGGAGCAAGATGTACTCCCCTGCATACAGAGTGTAAACTCAAGAAACTGATACTACGGGCTTGGAGCAGTGCTAATCTGTTGTGGTAGATGTGGGATAGGCTTGCCTAAACAGATGAGGTTTTAGGGATTGCCTAAAGGCAGAGTATAAGACAGCCATACAGATTAAGGTAGAGTGTTCCAGAGGCTTGAGGAGGCTCAAGAGAAGTCCTGGATGTGAGCATGGGAAGAGGTGACAAGGGAGAGAGCAGGAGGAGCGAATAGGATGGTTTTGTTGATATTTAAAACAAAGTTGGTGATGTAGCTAAGAGTAATTAGAAGCCAGTGAAGGGATTGGTAAAGAGGGGTGAAGGACACTGAGTGTGTAGTAACTGAAGTGACTGGAGTAGTTGTGAAGTAATGGGGTTCAGGGGGTAGGTGATGAGGTGGACATCATAGAAAAGCTTAACAACTTCCTTTGTAGTGACAGAAGTGTCAAAAGAGGTGAGAGCTGAATGAGGTGGCAGCTATGGTACACTATATTGCCAAATGTATTGGGACACCCCTCTAACTCATTGGATTCAGGTGTTCCAATCACCTCCATGGCCCCAGGTGTATAAAATCAAGCACCTAGGCATGCAGACTGTTTCTACAAACATTCGTGAAAGAATGGGTCTCTCTCAGAAGCTCAGTGAATTCATGTGTGGTACAGTGATAGGTAGCCACCTGTGCAATAAGTCCATCTGTGAAATGTCCTTGCTACTAAATATTCCACGGTCAACTGTTAGTGGTATTATAGAAAAGTGGAAGCAACTGGGAACAACAGCAGCTCATCCATGAAGTGGAAGGCAATGTAAAATGACACAATGGGGTCAGCGCATGCTGAAGCGCACAGTGCACAGAAGTCACCAACTGTCTGAAGAGTCAATAGCTAAAGACCTCCAAACTTCATGTGGTCTTCAGATTAGCACAACAGCAGTGTATAGAGAGCTTCATGGAATGGGTTTCCATGGCTGAGCAGCTGCATCCAAGCCTTACTTCACCAAGTGCAATGCAAAGTGTCAGATGCAGTGGTGTAAAGCACTGGACTCTAGAGCAGTGGAAACGTGTTCTCTGGAGTGACGAATCACATTTTTTTGTCTGGCAAATTGATAAACATATCTGGATTTGGTGGTTGCCAGGAGAACGGTACTTGCCTGACTGCATTGTGCCCAGCGTAAAGCTTGGTGGAGGGGGGATTATGGTGTGTGGGGTTGTTTTTCTGGGGTTGGGCTTGGCCTCTTATTTCCAGTGAAGGGAACTCTTAAAGTATCAGCATACCAAGATATTTTGGACAATTTAATGCTCCCAACTTTGTGGGAACAGTTTGGGGATGGCTCCTTCCTGTTCCAACATGACTGCGCACCAGTGCACAAAGCAAGGCCCATAAAGACATGGATGAGCGAGTTTGAGGTGGAGGAACGTGACTGGCCCACACAGAGTCCTGACCTCAACCAGATAGAACACCTTGAATGAATTAGAGTGGAGACTGCCAGCCAGGCCTTCTCGTCCGACATCAGTGCTGACCTCACAAATGCGCTTCTGGAAGAATGGTCAAACATTCCCATAGACACACTCCTAAACCTTGTGGACAGCCTTCCCAGAAGAGCTGAAGCTGTTATAGCTGCAAAGGGAGGGCCAACTCAATTTATGAACCCTATGGATGAAGACTGGGATGCCATTAAAGTTCATATGCATTTAAAGGCAGGCGTCCCATTACTTTTGGTAACATAGTGTATGTTAATTGACATACCTGGACAATGGCAATCCCTTAAAAATTGCATCTGTTTTGACTTTGAAATGACTGTCAAGTCCTGGACAGTGAATGAGTTAGTGGATAGTGACAGTGAAGAAGGAAGTAAAGGTGGAAAATAGTCGAAGAGGACTGGATGAAACAAGAGCGATGAAATAGGTATGCTTGTAGCAATTTAGTTTTTGGGAATGCAATCCTTTGTGCTTATAACTTCCAGAACCCCTTCCCCATGTTTACTGGAGATGAAGTAGAGGGGTAAGTGTTTATAGCTTAATTGAAGAGAAAAGTCTAAAGTGACAGTGCTGCTCCTTCATAGCAGAAAGAGTGATTCCACCATAGGGCGTGAAGTGTGTTACTGGCAGGATCGTCAGGTGAGAATAAGTGGGAAAAATGTCTGAAAAAAAAAGAAAAGTAATTACAATATCAAATGATTATAAATTGATATAACATCATTTTAACACAAAGGAAAACTATGAAAGTGTTGATTTGGATAAACATTTTTGGAGAAATAATGTAATAGTGGTGTTTGGGCTGGCTATATATATATCATTGTCTTATGGCACTTCAAATGTCATATCCAGCCACATTGCTGCTATTGGTTCACGCACCTTTAATATTCTAAGCAGACATAAAAATGAGAAAGATAACTATTCATTAATACTCTGTATTCATCTCATGTAACAGCAATAGTTTTTGACAAGTGCCAGAAGTAGATCAATAAAGATGTCATAGAATTCTACACAGACAAGTCACTTCTTTTACTATGAAAGCCTAGCTCAGACTTGATATATTTTCTGGTTTTGCTGCATGAATACATTGCATGATCAATCTCAGGATTTTTTCCTGTTGTTATGGCTTTGTCTTGTTTATTGGTAGACCAAATACACTGCACATGACTCAGACTGGAAAAAAAAACAGATTAAAAATATTGCCTACCATTATTTTTCTTTGAAATTCAATAGTTTCAAGCAATTTAAGCTGTATTAGTAAAGATTTGTGTTTAAGTATAGGAGGTATATTAAAAAGCAGTCTATAGAAGTGTGTGTTATTACTCCCTGAAGTTACTGGTAAAGAATATCATTGCTTTATTTTGTCTGATGGAATCAAATGTTATGAGAAACTGAAAGCACATTTTGTGATATTGATAGGGGTGTATTAAATGTCTAAAATACAGTTTTAGA